GCAGACATGTGCTTGGACCACCCCACTGGGTGGGCGTCCTGAAGGAAGGCCAATGGGCGCTCCGAAGGCGGTCCGAGCCACCTCTCCCCGAGGCCAATGAGTGCCCAGAGGGCGGGGCCTCCCCGGGCTCAACCGCCTCCGCCTCCGCTGCCTCCTCACCAGCGCTAGAACAGGGCCTGAACCGAGCCAATTTGCGTTTGTCGCCGGAGGGGGCGGGGGTCGGCGAAGGAGGGGAGGTTTGTCCCACGGAAGCGCCTCTTGAGCCGGGTGAGGCTCATTCCCTCTCTCTTTCCAGTCCTGAGCCGCGGAGATTAGGGGAGGTCGGGAGCAGCGTTCCTCGGGGGCTGCCCCGGGTCCGCTCCCGTCACATGCGCCCCTTGTGCGGCCCAGGCTCGGCGCACTGGGTGAGGCGGCTGCCAGGGCGGCCGAGGAGGTCGCGGGATCTTTTCCTCTTGAGGGGGGCGGGGAACGGGCGCCTGCCGCGCTCTCCTGCTGTGAGCTGCACTTTCACCCTGTGAGCCCAAGACGAGGGCCTCAAGTTTTTCGGGGCCAGAGCTGCTGCCTCTGTCCCGCCTGGTTCACCCCTGGGCTCCTCACCTCCCCTTGTCCACGAAATTGTACTTATTTGAGCGTTTCTAATGGCGGACCTGGAGCCAGTCGTAAACCTCGGGCACAGGGCAAGTGTTCCGGCAAACGGACGATGCCCGCCCAGCGGAGATCCGAGTCGCCCGCTACCTCCCAGGCGGTGCACGCAGATGGGGAGACGAAGGTTGGCGAGTTGAGGAATCCCCTGCTGGCCTCGAGGTGACGTTTGCTCTCCCCGAGTCGGCTTGGTGCCCTCAGCCCACTTCAGTTCCCCCCCTCCAGTTGTGTAGTTTGAAGGAACATATTTAGCTTTGCCTTGTCCTACGAGTTCCTACAGTTTCTTGTTTTCCTTCACTTGTTTTTCCACAACTATTACTTTTGGGAAGGATAGAAGAGCATTGAGGGGCTTTTAGACTTATCCTTTTGCCTCCTTCCTACTTTGATGTTAGGGGTTGGTGCTTCCTCCAGATTTGTTGTAACTAAATAATTTTTCTTCTCTTCGTTCTAGGAGCAGGAATCAACCTTCACGCCAATCTCGTGAAGCTTTGACAAACATTAAGAAGGAAAACATCTTCGTAGTGAGTCCTTTTATCTAGCTTTTCTATTTAACATAATCAGTGTCATAGTAGAGTGTTCCTCCAGAGGGATTTGCCTTTCTGTTTTCATGGTTAAGGACCCAAGCTAGGGTCATTCCTGGGGAGGCAGTAGGAGTGCATGCTGGTATTTACACTCCTGGTGCTCTGTAGAATTTGAAAATAGGATTTAAATTTAGCTCCATTTAAAATATTTTGCACTTGGGGGGACCAGCAGGTGGCATGGTGCTTAAGGTGCTGGACACTCCCACATGGCTGACCACGGTTTAAGTACCGGAACTAGTGGCTTGGTTTCTCACTTTCTCCCTCTCTCTCTGTCTCTCTCTCTCTCTCTCTCTGGTCACATTAAAATGAATAAATGAATAAATAAAATTGAATTAAAAATTCTTTGCATTTAACCTTTTCTGTAATAGATTTTTTCTTTTTTTTTTTTTTTTTTTTTAGTTTTGACTGTTGGATTAAAAAAAACTTGCTAAATCTATTGCTTTAGGTTGAAGAAGAGATTTTTTTTTTTTTTATGTGTTTGCCTTAAATTTGAGGAAGACTTTATATCCTGACAATCCTCTAGTCACCATCACTTCAGGGAATATATAATCTATTGATAGTTGTCACATTGTTCCTGAATATAAGATTTACCACTGAATCAGTAGTGATTGCCTAATCCCTCCATTATGAAGTTAAGGTTTGTTTTTTTATTTTCTTTGCTACCATAAAGTGATCTGTGTATTTATTTGGGTCCAGTACAAATGACCAGGTCTCTGTCAGCTATTCAGCTGATGTTTTTTTACACCAATCCTTGCCGCAATTGACTTTTTCATTATTGTTGTTTTTGTTTTTGTGTTGTAGCGTGTGTACACTTCTCAGAAAGACAGAGGAAGAAAGTAAGAAAGCACTCCTGGAGGGGATGACCATGCCATAATCACATCTCCTCCATTCTCCTCTCAGGATTTTGGGCAGGCACACACATTGGGTGTGTTTTGTATGCCACAGTTTCCAGGACTTGAACCACACAGTGGGCCACGTGGGATCCAGCACCCCGATTGCCATGCCACTAACTGGTCCAGGAAAAAAAAAAAAAGAAAGAATGTGCTTTCTGTTATTTTCTTTCTTTTTAAAAATAAAAGTAATTTCATTTAGGGGCTGGCAGGTGGCATGGTGGTTAAGGGAGCTGGACTCCCACATGGCTGACTGTGGTTCGAGAACTGGTGGCTTGCTTTCTCGCTTTCTCTTTCTCTCTCTCTCTCTCGCTCTATTTCTCTCTGGTCAAATAAGATAAATAAAATTAAATACAAATAATTCTAAGACTTATTCCTTCTGGAATATGCTGAGTATGCATCATCCAGGGTTGGCTGGGGAAGAGTGTGGCCCCAAGGCCCTGTTAAGAGTGCTGTCTACCTGTTTCTGTTTCACTCTGTCTCTCTCACTCATGTAGAAGATAGATGAATAAACTTTTAAAAATAATTTTTTAAAGCATATAAAATGTAGTGATTATATTAGGGCCCTGGGTTATTGGTACTTAATAGAATTAATTTGCTACAGAGCACGTGTGCTCACCAGAGAGAGAAAGTGAGCTGCCAGGCCTAGTACTCAAATCCCTGTTGGCCATATGGGAATCCAGCACCTTAACCACCATGCCACCTGCTGGCCCTTTGTTGCTATTTTCTAATGTCAAGAAAGTCTCTGGTATTTTTTCACTATAAAAGATGAGTAGCTTAAAGTGAGTATCTTATAAATTGATTACTCTTTTAAAGGACTACCAAAGTTGCATACTTAATTTCTATCACACTCTGAAGAGACAAACACTAAATCAATAATGAGAGAAGAAAAACAGGGCATCAGTTTTTTTCTCTAAAATTTAGCTTATAAGTCACATAAAGAAAATAATTTAAAATTTTACTTGTGGTGTTTCATCGTAGTAAAATGCAAAAAGTATAATATACTAGAACTTTTTCTTTTCTCTATCTCTTACAGGTTCTTTGGCATGGATAAATGTTCAGTGGAAGGATTAGAATTGACTGGACAGACTCCTGCTTTGTTAGGAAATACAACCATGACAGCTAGTCTCATAGACTTAGGATACTCATTTGGTGATACAACTAGTCCTTTAGTCAATACAACTCAAAACTCATCAGTGGACAATGATGATGATGATGATGTTGTATTTATTGAATCTATACAGCCTCCTTCAGTTTGTGCTCCAGTGATAGCTGATCAAAGAAACTTTGTGTTTGCATCATCAGAAATTGAAAAGCCACAAAGAAATTATTCTGTAATTCTTACTTCCTCAAGAGATTTGGCTTCTCAGAAGGGAAATGTAAGTGAGATAATTGTGATTGATGATGAGGAGGACATAGGAAGAAATGGAGACAAAGAAAAAAATTCTCCCGGTTTTATTGAATGGGGACTTGCTGGAACTAAAAACAGAATCAAAGATTTGGATTTCTCCACTTCCAATCTTTCAAGAAGTAAGGTAAATTCTGGAAATGGGTAATAGTGTTATTCCTACAGAATCAACTCTGAAATACATATTAATGTTACCACCTTAGAAACAGGTATAATCTCTATGAATGCTGAGCGAGATGTGAACTTAATGATTACACATATAACATCCTATAGAATACCAACTTGGGAGATGTCACTAAAGGACTTCAGCCAAGTAATTTGGTGTTAATATACAAACACACCCCATCTTTAAATTCACAGACCAAGACTGGAGTAGGACCTTTTAATCCTGGTAGGATGAATGTGGCAGGAGATGTATTTCACAATGAAGGATTTGCAACACATCCTAACCCTGGTAAGCAATAAGTGATATATTTTTTGCCTTCTTTCCTCGAGTAAATAAAATTTTAATTCCTTTTAATATTTATGTCTGTTTTATTTATATACTATGTATGAAATATTTACATTCTTTCTTTTTTTTAATTTCCCAGAGAACATATGCGCTCGTTGGAGAGAGAGTGAGAAAGCACCCCTGTGGTGGTCACGCAATCCATTCTCCTCAATTTCTCCCTCTTTTTTGGGGATTTTGAGCATGCACACACATGTGCCTGGCATGTTTTTCAAGTCTTTGGGTCTGGAACTTGAATCACAACATTGGCCAGGTGGAATACAGCTGCTTTAACTAGCCCACCACCAGCTGGCCCTCCCTCAATTTTCATATTAAGATAGAATGTTGTACTTAATAAAACTGTGCAGTCTACTTGGTCTCTGAAATTTAGGGGATATAATCTGTTTTTTACCCAATGCAATTTACTTCTAAATTATTTTAGTTGATAATACCCTTGACTACTACTACAACCCTTGTTTATTTTAATATAAAAATCATAGAATAAAAATATGGAGATGCCAGCTGGTGGTGCAGTGGTAATAGAATGTTCTGCACTATTGGACCCACATGGGGTGGGCCTCAGGTTCACATTCCAAGGCCTCTCTTTGTACACTGGGTATGTGCACACTCATGATCTGGGGATGGCTGAGCTTGGGTAGGTCACAGTGTTGAAATAAATAAATAAACTTCAAAAAAGATATATAGTTAGTGATCTGGAAGAATGAAGTAACACTACATAATAATTGAATTTAATTTGTTATTATGTTAAATTTTTAATTTTTGACTTTTTACTTTTGGGGCTACATCTCTGATTTTAGTGTTTAAATCAGCAGTTTATCAGTAGCTTAATTTAAAAGTTGGAAAACTTCCTTGTCTTTAAATCAAAGAACTGTATTTTTAAAATGTTTATGTGGATAGTCTTGTTCTGTTAAAATATAAGAAAAATTATAATAATTAGTTATTTTTTTCTTTTGACTTTCTCATGATTTATATGGAGTTTTTGGTGTTTTTGTTTTGTTTTGTCTTTTTACCATTTTAGCACTTTTAGCCTGTTGAATTTTAGGAAATGATCAAAAAGTAACTTGAACCTAAGAACGTAATTGCTGTTACTGCTTTAATGGAATACTAGTTTTTGTTTTTTAACTTTTCTTCTGATTTTGTGGTTATTGTGTGATTATTGCAGAATATTTAGGAAACAGTGGAAATAAGAAAATAAGGGCCTGCTCTGTGGCCTGGTGGTTAAGGCAGCCAGGATTCCACATTGCTGACCACATGGTTCTAGTACCTCACCTGATAGTGTGAGAAACATGCTGGACATTTGCATGCATTCTCCCCAAGTCCCAAAAGAAGGGAGAGATGGAGGAGAAGGGATTGTGGCATGACCATTCCTCATGGTGGGGTGCTTTCTCTTCTCTCTCCCTGTCTCTCTTACTCTGATGAGCACACATGTCCTCTAGCAAAAACAAAGCAAAATGAAAACATTAAGAGGCCAGCCAGGGACATGGTGATTAAGACAGTTGGATACCACCTGACTGACTATATGTTTCAAGTCTTTGACCAAGTCTCTGATCTAGTATCTTTCTGGAAAGTCCCACATCCTCCTCCCAGCAAACATACTTCCCTGTGGCAAATTTTTAAAAATAAATAAGTAATACAGAAAGAAAATAAGACTTTACACTATACCATAATGACTAGAAGTAACCACTATTGGGGACCAGCAGTTGGCATAATGGCTATGTCGCTGGACTCCTATGTGGTCAACCGCGGTTCGAGTCTGGACCCAGTGGCTTAAACTCATGCCAGGCGCATGTGTGTGTGTGCCCAAGACCCAAGAGGAGAATAGAGGAGAAGGGATTGTGGCATCGCCATCCCCCCAGTGGGTGATTTCTCACTTTCTCTCTGCCTGTCTCTCTCTTTCACGAGCATATGCACCCTATAGCAAAAACCTCTCAAAAAAAAAAAAAAGTAACCACTATTAAAACTTTGGTTTGGGGCCATCAGGTGACATAGAGATTAAGGTACTAGATCCCACATGGCCAGCTTCGTGGTTCAAAGCCTTGACCCATTTGCTGGAGAATCACACTGGGTGCATGTGTGTGCATGCCCCAAATTCGGAGGGGACAGTGGAAGAAAAGGCATTGCAGTGTGGCCATTCCCCCCGGAGGGGGGGATAATTTCTCTCTTTCTCTCACTCTTGCTGTCTTTTTGGTGAGTGCTTGCACCTGATAGCAAAACTTAAAAAACAAACAAACAGAAAAAAATCTTTGGCTTTTTTCAGTCTTTTGCTCCTATGGTTTTTCAAATTTTTAATTTAAAGCATATTATATATATAGTTTTATGTCTTATTAGTTTCCTTCTCTTTATTTTTTATTTTATTTATTTATTTATTTATTTTTTTTTTTGAGAGAATGGAGGAGAAGGATGGCAGCATGGCCATCCCCTCCCAGTACTATATTTTAGCATTATGTGGTTTTCACATTTTTACTTTGGAAACTATTGGGTTTTCAGAAAGGTCGTGATGTGTTTTTTCTATGCAAAAATGTGTCATGACTTTTCCAACAACCCAATACATTAAATACTTTTGTTTATAACTTTGTTATTATAGGACACTTGTTCTCAAACTTTTTAATCTCAATTTTCACTCTTAAAATGAATAAGGAGCCAGCTGGTAGGATGGTGGTTATGGCAGTTGGATCCCACATAGTCAATAGTACAGTTCAAGTTTCAGACAAAGCAGTTTGAAATATAAATAATTAGTAAAAAAAAAATTGTATTAAAAATATGGGACCAGCAGGTGTGGTTGGGGCAGGTGCTGGACTCTCATTGGTGACCAGGTTTGAGTCCCAGACCTGGCAGCTTGCTTTCTTGCTTTCTCTCTCTTGTCTCTCTCTGGTGAGCAAGTTAAAAATATTGGGTTGTTTCTGCCAGCAGATGGTGTAGTGGTTAAGTGGTTAAGGTGCTAGACTCTCACATGGCCAACTGCATTTTGAGTCCCTGGTGGCTTGAAATTCAGACAGAGCGTGTTTGTGCCTGCCCGGAATCTCAGGACAAGAGTGGAGAGAACAGATTGTGGTGTGGCCATTCCCTCTGGGTGGTAACTTCTCACTTTTCCCCTCATTGTTTCTTTCTGTCTCTCTCCTCTCCTGAAAGTGCATGCGCCCTATGGCAAAAACATTTAAAAAAAAAAAAATTGGGGTTGCCTGAAAAGTCATGACATTCTTCCTATGCTTTTCTATGCAAAAATACATCATGACTTTCCTGACAACCCAGTGATAATAATAATAAATAAAATTAATTAATTTTTAATAGAGGTTTTTTTAGGGCACATGTAGTCACTAGAGAGAGAGAGACAGTGAGAGGGAAAGTGAGAAATCACCCCCCAGGAGAGATGGCCACACCACAAATCTCTTCTTTTCCATTCTTCTCTGAGGATCTTGGGCACATATGCACATGTGCCAGGCCTGAGTTTCAAGCCACCAAGGTTGACCATGTGATAGTCCAGCAATATAACTGCTAATGCCATCTGCTGGTCCCTTAAATAATTCTTTTAAAAAATCAAAATAAGAGGACCAGCAGTTAGTGTAATGGCTATGTCGCTGGACTCCCATGTAGTCGACTGCGGTTTGTGTCCTGGACCCAGTGGCTTAAAACATGCCGGGTGTGTGTGCGTGCATGCCCAAGATCCCGAGGAGAATGGAGAAGAAGGGAGTGCCACATGGCCATCCCTCCTGGGGGATTTCTCGCTTTCCGTCTCTCTGTCTCTTTCTCTCTCTGTCTGGCGAGCGTACGTGCCCTATAGCAAAAACCTCTCCAAAAAAAAAAAAAATCAAAATAAAGCTGAGGCCAGCATGGCCAGCAGGATCCTACATGACCGATGGTGTGGTTTGAGTCCTGGCCCTGTCAACTTTAAAAGCATACTGGGCAAGGGACCAGCAGTTGATGTAATGGCTATGTCGCTGGGCTCTCGTGTAGTTGACTGCAGCTTAAGTCCCGGACCCAGTGGCTTAAACTCACGCCACGCGTGTGTGCGTGTGTGCCCAAGATCCCTAGAGGAGAATGGAGGAGAAGGGATTGCAGTGTGGCCAGCCCCCTGGGGGGTGATTGCTCGCTTTCTGTCTCTCTGTCTCTCTCTGTCTTCTGGTGAGCGTGCGTGCCCTATAGCAAAAACCTCTCCAAAAATTAAAAAATAAGCAGACTGGGCACATGGGCATTTATGCCCAATTCTTGACAGGAGGGAAAAATGGAGGAGAAGGGATTGTGATGTGGCCACACCCTAATGGGGAGTGCTTTCCCCTCTCCCTCTCTCTCTTGTGTGCACATGACCTCTGGCAAAAAAAAAAAAGTTTTTTTTAAATAGTAAATCCAAATCCTGAAAGGAAGGACAAATAGAAGAGAGGGCATTGTGGCATGACCATTCTCCGTGGGGAAGGTGCTTTCTTTTCCTTTCTGTCTCTGTCTTTCCAGTGAGTGCATTTCCCCCCTCCCAAAAAAAAAAAAAAAAAAAAAAAAACTTTGAAATGTAACCAAAGGCTGAAGTTTAGTAGAATTAATATTTACTATTTCCTCAAAGACCTTTTGTAAAAACAAAAATTGTAGAGCTGACCCCAGAGCACAATTATTGAGTGCTATGGATGGAAAGCTGGATCTCATGTGATGGACTATAGTTTGAATCCCAGCCCTGGTGGCTTAAAAAACATGCTAGACATCTGTGCATGCATGTGCAAAATCCTGACAAGAAGGAGAAATGGTGGATGGAAAAAGGATTGCAGATACTGCACTGGGGTTTATTCTTGCTCTCTCGCTGTCTCTCTGGTAAAAAGTCAAGGCTGGCCCTCTGTCACAGCAGTAATGCACTACTTAAGAGAAGCAGAGTCCCACCTGAAGACTATGGTTTGAATCTGCGAGCTGGTCTCTGTAGTTGGGGACGTTATAGTTGGGGATGTGAGTAAGTTCCCAAGATCCAGTAA